AACATAAACAACACTCTTAGTTGAAATGTCTGATTAACCTTCACAAATTAAATTCAGCAAGCTCTTTCAAGGCTCGTTACTTCCAAAAAAAATAAACAAAGAAAAGTTTTCTTTTATGTTAAAAAAAGGCCTTTTGTTGAGTATTTACAAATCCAGGGGTCACCACGACTTCCAGCTGAAGACTCTGGGAATTTCTTTATCAATTTTTCCAAGGGCAGAGCAAACCCCGAGAGACACAGAAATCATTCTGCCAGAGATTAAAGAGCCCACGGATTTTCTCTTGTTTTCTTGCCATCAAACCCTAGGAAAAAAGGATACTTCACATTTAGCTGTGCAAAACTGATATCTGGGTGGAGTGTGTGTGTGTGTTCATCCACCCACAGAATTCAGTTAAAAAACTGTATTTTTTCTGTGTGCTCTTTATATTATTAGTGTCTATCAATACTTCAGAAACCTAAGTCTCAGCCACCAGTATTTACTACAGATATAATCCACTCATTCCAAGAAAGAGCAAAGCAAAAACCTAAGTAGATGGCACGCTATGTTAAAATGTTAACCGATTTTTATCTGCCCACGGGTACTTTAAAAAAAAAATAATGATACAAAATGTAGATACCTAAAGAAACATCCACTGCGTAACAAGTCTGGTTACTGTTTTTAAATAGGCAGAGAGTTCTTTAAAAGTGTTTCAGAAGGGAAGATGCTGTAACATTTGGACACAGGTCAGAAGCCACAAAGGGTATGGACTGCACTAAATGAACACCTCAGGTTTTCCCCCTCTGATTTTCCTGGTTTAAATCACAGTGTGATCCTACACCTACATTTCCTATGGGATTTCAGGCTACTCTCCTAAACCACAATATTTTCTTGTCAAATGCAATAGCTGGCCTCCACATTAACTATTTTTATACCCAATGCCTTAAGCTGTAACATCAGACGACCAGCAGCAGTTGAAAGGTTCTGAGTTTTTAATCACAGAAACCACACTTCTTTTGAGCACTAAAATTACTTTTTCTACATGAACTCAGCACCTGAAGAAATCATCAAATCCAGCCCCCTGTGAGAGACCAAGTAAATCAAGTCAGGAAGAAAGTCTTCAATATAAGACAATTCTTTCCTGGCTTTCAAAAAGGAGACTGCATAACTTCAGCTTGTTCCAGTTTTCCCCAAAGCCTAACAGGATCTAAGAACTACATCAAATCTTCGGTACAAACTAGTTTCCTCTTTTTCAGTACTGACAGAAGGACACAGACCGCTTCTCACTAATTTGAAGACTGTAGCATCTCCTTGTCTCCTCATTTCATCCTCTCTCTGCCAGAACAGAGCTTCTCTCACCTTTGCAAAACACACCTGGTCTCTTCGGATGAGGCTTTCAAACCCTCCCTAAGCCTTGCTGACCATTTCTTCCAGGCTGGGACATCTGCATTTATTTTTCTTAACGGGCTGTGGCCAAATTGGGACACTTTATCCTGTGAACTTAAAGCTTCTCTCGTGTGAAAAGTTAAATGATGAACTTTAACAGTGCTACATCCTGCTGCTTATGGCAACCCCACCCCCCCAGCCCTCAGACCTGCTTCGGATGGTGTTGCTGCCAAGTTGACTTTACCTACCTCTGTTATGGCATCTCCTTCCTGAAAATAGCATCTTGTACTTGAATAAAGCAGTCAAATACATCAAAAACCTCCTTTCCTCCAAAACAGAGCATCAGGAATAAGGCCTGAAACCCCTTACTCAGTCTCTTTCAGACTTTGTGATAAATCTGTTGATCAAAGACATCAATTACACCACCAAGTACAAAGGTGCCAGAACTGCCCCCGGCACCACTTAAGCCGACTTCCCGGTCTCATAGTTGCTCCATGGGAATCATCACCCAGAGCTGCTATCTCCAGACCTACTCCCTTTGCCTCAGCTGGTGTCAAATACTTCAGGTGAATAAATAATTTTCCTAAGAGCAGCCCCGCTGGGTCAGATGGCAGCTCTGTCATCTCCAGTGTGCTGCTTGCAGTACTCAATGCTTGAAATTAACATAAAAATTTGGTAAATACTCGACAGTCCTTTCCCATTGTGTTCTCCCAGGCTCCATGGGGAGCTTGGTGACTCCCCGAGCTACAGGAGGTAACGCTACAACTCAGCCTTTGTGGATTTTTTCTTCCATTAATTTGTCCGGCTGCTTTTTGAGTAAGTAAACTTTCAATATCCACGTGCTGCAGAAAGAATTTCCAAGGCTTAACTAACTACACGTTGGGTCAAAACCAAAACACACCCCTTTTGTTCACTTCGGACCTGCCAGCTTAATCTCACGCCTCCACATTTTGTACCAAAAGAGACCAGAAAAAGTTTGTCCCTGCTCAACTTTGCCGTGTCACTCGCGAGGCCGCCAAAATTTCTATTTTAAAACCTGAAAGCTTTCCTCAGCCCAGCGTTACCAAATGCCGGGAGAATAGGAAGGTTAGATGGGGTTACAAAGCCCTTAACTAACTACACGTTGGGTCAAAACCAAAACACACCCCTTTTGTTCACTTTGGACCTGCCAGCTTAATCTCACGCCTCCACATTTTGTACCGAAAGCGACCAGAAAAAGTTTGTCCCTGCTCAACTTCGCTGTGTCACTTGCAAAGACCGCCAAAATTTCTATTTTAAAACCTGAAAGTGCCGTGTCACTCGCGAGGCCGCCAAAATTTCTATTTTAAAACCTGAAAGCTTTCCTCAGCCCAGCGTTACCAAATGCTGGGAGAATAGGAAGGTTAGATGGGGTTACAAAGCTGCCTCCAGCACAGCTCCACCTCGCTTATGAGAACATTATGGTTAATGGGTCAAAATACCAAGCCAGTATCAAAACCCAAGGCGCAGGGCGATGCCGGATCCCGAGCGACACGGCACTTAGCGCCCATTATACACCAACAACCCACTCGGGCTAGAATTATGGGGGCGGGGAAATTAGTTCAACTGCCTTACAATTTCTGCAAGCTGATACTGACATGGTTTTAATTCAGAAAGCTATTAAGCCTCCCAGCAAACTTTGCTGCCTTTATATTCGCACTGCTGGCTTTACAGTCTCCCGGACCAAGGCGTAACTGTACCGTCACAAAAGGGTTTATTAACTTATGCACATTAAAAATACAATCAAGCTAAATGTCAATTTCTACCTTAGCAAAAACAACATCACAAAAGTTTGTAACTTGTGCTCTGAGAGTTTCAATATTTACTCTCCCACTCAACAACACTCGGGTATTTGTTTTGCAGTTATTTTATAAACTGTACACTTCACGGTTAACGTGAGCACTGACACAGTTTTGTGATATTTAAACAAGTACTGCAAAAAGGCATTTGCTTATATGTTTAAATTTGCACAAGGATACTTTTAATCATTAAATCATTTGTACTGTTACAGGGCTTTTTTTCCACTTGCATCCCCCCTCTGTCTCGGAAAGAAAAATCGCAGATGACATTCAACTTGTGAGTTCATCTCTCCCCGGTTAATTTGTCCTGTTGGCACAAGAAGGAGGAGGCAGCCCCGTGGCCAACCTTTGCTCTCCCTCAGCCCAGTCCATAGGCCACCCCACAGCCCGGCCATGCCAGCGGGGCAGCAAGAAATCACAGACTCACAGAATGGTATGGGGTTGGAAGGGACCTCTGGAGATCACCCAGTCCAACCCCCTGCCAGAGCAGGGTCACCCAGAGCAGGTCCCACAGGAACGGGTCAAGGTGGGGTTGAATGTCTCCAGAGAAGGAGACTCCACCACCTCTCTGGGCAGCCTCTGCCAGGGCTCTGCCACCCTCAAAGTCACAAAGTTCCTCCTCATGTTTAGATGGAACTTCTTATGTTCCAGTTTGTGCCCGTTCCCTCTTGTCCTGTCCCTGGGCACCACTGAAAAAAGACTGACCCCATCCTCCTGACACCCACCCTTTCAGTATTTATGGGTGTTGATCAGACCCCCCTTCAGCCTTCTCCTCTCCAGACTAAAAAGACCCAAGTCCCTCAGCCTCTCCTCGTAAGGGAGATCCTCCGGGACTCTAAATGAGAGTCTCCTCCAAAGGTCTCCTCCTCCCTGGGGCCAGACGGGATGCCGGTCACGACATCCTGCTTCTCCCAAAGAAAAGGGCTGGCGATCAGCAATGTCTAGAGGAAACAACAGGTAACAACCCTCCGTTTGTGCAACCCATAACCTATTAATTTAGCTATCTCAATCCGAGGGGGCTCTGGTGGCACTGGGCTGTGCCCGTTGGGGCTCTGAGGGACAAGACTCCGGCACATCCAACATGCTGCGTTGCAAGTTGTATCCAGGCCAGGGCCCATTTCGGGGACAGACCTTTGTTAAGTTTCCCTATTCATTAACAGGAGCACGACGAGGGGAACCGGGAGTCAGATTTTTGGTGGCACGATGCACTTAACACACGCTGCCCCAAAAAAAAAACCAACCCCACAGCCCGCACAAGCGATTCCAGGGGAAATACTCCCAAAACGGAGTGTTTTCCACGGCGGTACCGGTGTCACCGCCAGCAGCCGGCCCGGGCGGCGAAAAAACAATGTCTTTTCCATGAGTGACAACAAGCTTTCCAGCCCAGAAGGGAGGAGAGGAGCTCGGCTGTAACTCGGGACGGGGGGGGAGGAGGAGGGAGGGGGGAACGGAGACGTTTTACAGAGGATAATGAAATTTACAAAGAAGAGAGAAGCCGGGGAGAGGCGTTCCCCTGACAGCTCCTCTGAGGGAGCCCGGGGAGCAGCCCCTCAGGCCGCCCACACCCCCGACCCCCCCACCTCGCCGGTTCCCTGCTTCCCTCGGTCCCGAGGCGTGTTAAGGTGAGAGCTACCGGCACCGGCAGCCGGCACCGAGCAATCCCCCTCGGGAAACCACCCCCGTCGGCCCCGGCCAAGCCGCCCCGCCGGGGGGAACCGAGCCGGGCCGGGGCCGGGTAGAGGGATGGCTCCCCCCCGGGCGGGAGGAGGCCGTGGGGGGCGGTCGCCGGGGGAAGGTTGAGAGGGGAACCCTGGGCCTTACCTGCCGCCTCCCTCCCTCGGCTCCCGGCTGCCAGCCCCGCCGCCGCCGCTGCTCTGCGCCGCCCTCCGCCGCCCGGCACGGCACGGCACGGCCGCCCGGCACGTCAGCGCCACAGGGGCCGGCCGGGGGCGGGGGCAGCGCCGGCGAGGGGAGGAGGATGGAGGAGGAGGATGGAGGAGGAGGAGGCCGGGAAGCCGTGCCTGGGCCCGCCCGGTTCCCTCCGCACCGGCGTTGCCTGACAGGGAGCCCCGGCCCGGGGCAACCGGACCCCGCGGCCTGCGCCCCCCCACCACCCCCCGGCCCGGAGATGATGTTCCCGGAGCCGGCTCCGGGCTCTTCTGGGAGAAGGTTGGGGTTGTCTTAATTAACCATTACGCCATACGAGGGGTTAATTAACCATTACGCGAGGCAGAGGGGAGGCTCTCCTGCCGTGCCCCTTCCCCTCAGCGCCCCCGGCCCGGGCCCTGTGGGTGACCCTGCCCTCATGGACCACCGGCCCACCCTGAGGGGTTTCTGACAGGCCTGGCTGCTTCTCGGCTGTCCCCCCCCGTCCCCTGCCTTCCCCACGGCCTCCATGGGGTTTCTGGGGGGGTTTTCATGTCACCCTGCCATCAGTGTGGTGGTTTGGGCATGGTCCTCAAAGCGGGACACCGGGGACGTGCTCAGCATCATCGTCACACCACCCATGGAAGCCACCACCCTGACCAGCCCAGCTGGGGTTCCACCTCACCTCCCCATCACCCCACTCCACCAGCCTTCATAGCTAGTGTGGTTTGTCAGCCATTCCCATAAACAGGTCACTCCTCTTCACGCCATACTCCCAGGGTGGCAGGGTGACCCGAGCTGTGGGCACAAAGCCTCTTTGCTTTCCACCTGAAGGCCATAACCACCTTCTGTGCTCTGCTGACAGAGGGAAATGAACAGTTCACCCTTCAAAATCTCATGTTTTCCCTTAATCTTGGAGCTCTAACTACCTTCCTTTCTTTAGGCAGGGTGCGCATCCTTTCCTGAGTGTTTGGACAACACCAGGGACATCGTGGAGCCATAGGATGAGGGGTAATGGTTTTAAACTGAAAGAGGGTAAATTTAGATGAAATATAAGAACTTCTTTGCTGTGAGGGTGGTGAGAGCCTGGCCCAGGTTGCCCAGAGAAGCTGTGGCTGCCCCATCCCTGGAGGGGTTCAAGGCCAGGTTGGAGGGGGCTTGGAGCAACCTGGTCTGGTGGGAGGTGTCCCTGCCCAGGGCAGGGGGGTGGAGCTGGATGGTCTTTAAGGTCCCTTCCAACCCAAACCACTCTATGAGTCTATTGTGAGTACAGCTGCTAGCTAATAAATAATTTAACCAAAATGTTTTCTTCCATCCCCCGTAGATACAATAGTCATAACGATGCCTTGACCTCTTTTAGGAGATAAAGAGGAACCCTGGGGGGGGCTCTAGAGAAAGGGTTCTGTCAGGGGTCAGGGTGGACATACACGTGGAAAGGAGAAAGGAAGCAGACAAAGTGCCCGAGGAATCCTGCATCCGGGGCAGAGCACGGGTGGAGTTAACTTCTGTGTCCAGATTCACATTCCTATGACTCCCGAAACGTGCCATGAGCTTGTTTTGGTTTTTAAAAGGTCCCACATGCCTGCAAAGCAGCAAGGTGAATTGGCCAGTTGCGTCTTCATTTGATGTAATTTAGGAATGTTTAACAATTTGGGCAAATCAAAATACTGTAGAATTTCTAGGGAATGGGAGTTTACCTTTGGCATTACCGCTCAGGGCAGTACTCTGTATGTTCAGCCTTGCTTTTATTTGCAAAAGACAGATAAGGATAATTATCTGGAGATTAAAAAAAAAAAAAAGACTGGACAATTAAATAAAATATGTAAATTTGCTGACTGGATAAACCCCCTTCTGTTAGCAAAACAGGATACAACATCAGGAAATGACCAACAAAATCTGTTCAGGGTAAACAAGGTGGTTGGTTCTGTGGTCTGGTCACTATCTCACCCTCTGAGGAGGGAGAGGGACGGCGTCCCTGCTTGCTCCCCTCTTTTCTTCCTGGGAAATCTAAAAATACCCTGAGACACAGCAGCATCTGCTCTGTGTAAATCTTATGGGAAAATACAGGAAAACTCACACACAAACGTCTGCTCTGTAAATCTTTTGGGAAAATACAGGAAAACTCACACACAAACAAAATCTGAGAATGAGAACTTCAACCTAAGCCAAGGGCAGGGGGGGAAAGATGGACAGAGAAGAAAAGGGAAAATGTGTTTTACTGTCCCCCTTGCCTTGTCTATAAGGAGGCAGAAAAAAACATTTCCAGTTTCATTTCTTGGGAAGTTGGATCAACCTCTGTAATTTAAGTCCATATAAATATATTAAGTATGAATTGAGGTCATTATGTATTATAGTGAACACTTGCTGTCCTCAAATTTGGCACTTTTTTATTTTTAAATATATGTTAATTGTATGAGGCACTGTGTTTTGTCAGAACGGATGGACAGGCAGGTAAAGGACCCTCAGTGACCTCTCAGAAAGCCCTGGGGGGGATATTATGTATGTTTTAATTTCAAAGAATATCATACAATGTCCGGCCTATTTGCATTTCTGTGAAAATGACTTCTTACCTGTAATTCAGTCCATCAAGATTTAGACCACTCAATATAAACACAAGAAGTTAAAGGCTCTCACTCTTTCCCGGGTAGAATTTTCCCTCCTGAGGTGGCTGCTCTGGAGTGGTTCGTGTGGAGACTGTTCAGTGTCTCTCCCCACGCTTTAGTATGAAAAATCAAATCAGGAAATGGGGTTTGAGGTCGACTCCAAGCCTTTGCTTTGTCCATCTCCCCAGAGGGAAAGCTTGGCTTGAAATCACGTCAGCATTAGCTGGGTTTCCCCGGGGATCACAGGCAGCTACAGCTTGACACGTGGCGGGGAATAGGTAAAGTTCTGCCATAAAAACATCCATGGGTGCTGCCTCCAGTCACAGCCAATGAGTTAACGAGGCCAGAAGTTCATTTCTTTGCACTGCTTGGTTGTCACCTCTAAACACAGACAAGTGTGATGTGACAACACCGTGTCTGTGCAATGGGGTTGTGCTAAAATCCCTCACAGCTGGTCAGCATCCACCACGGGATTCTCCTGACCACTGAGTATTTCCATTAAGTGCCTTCCTACCCCCTGAAATGATTTTATGGTTTTGCAATTAATTTCTGAAAAAAAAAAATGGTGCCAGCACCATTTCTCTCTCCTTTGTCCCCAGAAATAAGAGCTTGCTCATATGTTTGCAAAGGAACGTTTCTAACTGGCTCAGGGTTTAGTGCCTTATGTTCAGAGGCAGAGAAAGACCAAGAAAACTTGCTGGGATTTTTCAGCAGTGGTGTTTTTCCCAGCTCGGAGGTGAGGCTCCTTCTCAGGATCAACCTTTGGTTCCTCTCCAAGGAAGATTTGTCCCGTTCCGAGGAGAAGAGCTGTTCATTTCCTTGTCATGTAAATGATTTACAGGGAATTGGTGCGTGAGCCCTATTTTTATCTGCCACCTTTCACTTGGTGTTACATGCACACACATAATTCTCCCAGTTCAATAGCTGTTCAATGATCCTTTTTTTTTCCCCTTTCTTCCCAGCATGAACACCGTGTTTGACTACACCTCATCTTTTTAACATTCTGACTTTTTCCACTGGCCGCCTGCTTTCCAAACGCTTCCCTCGAGTTACAAAAAACTGAAGACATTACGTTTTAAGGCAAGAGCTCCTATTTGACCTCTTCCTGTTTCATTCCAATTGGTGAGTAGTTTCTTCTTCTGTGTTATCAGGCCACCGCTCAGTCCAGGAATGCTGCTGGTTTTGTGTTTCCAGCCCTGGCAACACGTGGCTGGTTTCTGAAGCCCTGGTTTGTGGCTGGGAGTAAGTCTCTTGCACTGGCCCCGTTTTTCTGTTTCCTCTCCTCAAAGGATAATTCAGTTAAGCAAATTGATTATTTTTAATTGTGGGTAACTCCTCGGAAATAGGTCAGTAAGTCTCTTGCACTGGCCCCATTTTTCTGTTTCCTCTCCTCAAAGGATAATTCAGTTAAGCAAATTGATTATTTTTAATTGTGGGTAACTCCTCGGAAATAGGTCTGCAGAAAGAACAGCATGAGAGGAGGAGTCCCCAACTTGTCATCCTCCTGAAGTCCAGTGCTTTTCTGTTTATTTTTGTGAGTTTCTACAGACCCAGTGGGTGAGGGTGGGGGAATGAGGGGACAGCACCCCAGAGAAGCCGGAGGATATTCCAGGAGCCATCCCAGCCTTTGGGGACAGATGGATTCCCTTCCTGGAGCAAGATGCCCTGTGTCTCTGGGGAGAGGATCTGCTTCTGGTTTTGCTGGAGCTTCTCTCTGGAGATCTCATGGGCCCACTCTCCTGAACGGGCCCCACTGGTTTGGCTGTTTCAGCTGGAGGACGGGGAGGGGTGGTTCATAGGAACGAGAGGCCAGTGACAGCCCCACAGGTAACACACAATCCCAATTATCATCGTTGTTTTCATTTTTGCTTCCCCCTCCCCTGCTCTGTGAGCACCCAGATGGGTTTCTTTTTGGGTGATGAACAGCGATTGTTGATAAAATAAGCTCAGGTTTGTCTGAAAAACAGGCGTAGCCGGTGGTCAGTGTCACCTGGAGGTGTCAGGTGTAGGGCTGGCTGTTCCTCAGGGAGCCACAGCCCTTCGCCTGTACTTGAATGGACTTGGGGATGGATTAGGTGGACCTGAGAACTTTCTTGCTTTACATGGAGACACAAGGATGGGTGGCAGAGACTGAAATCAGGCAGACTCCGCTGCATCCAAAGTCATTAAGGGAATGACAGACTGAGAATAATTGAGTAGGGGGAAAAGCTCACCAAAAATGAGCACACGGTAAGGTGTAGGGTGAGAAACAGCCAGGAAATTAATTCAGAGACCTCTGCTTTGGCAAAACAAAGGCCTGGCTTCCCAGGGGGGGAAAGTGATATCGGTTTCAATTTAAATATCATCAGCTGGCCATACAAATACGTTTGATTCATTAATCCAGACATTTGTTAAAAATGTCTCCTATGATCCCAGAGAGTGAACGTTTGTTTGCAGTGGGAGGAGCTGGTGCAAGTTGTGTCTGAAGTCTAGAAACGGCCGTGGTCTTGGAGGAAGGAGAAAACCCTGCGACTTCTCACGGCCTTTCCCTGCCCTTTGCCGGGGGCCGGATGCGGTTACAATATTGTTTAGGGAGCAGTTCAGCTTCCAGAACCAAGGAACATCTTGTATTAGAATGGCTTGTATTAGAAATAGTGTGACCAGCAGAAGCAGGGAGGTGATTGTGCCCCTGTACTCAGCACTGGTGAGGCCACACCTCGAGTGTTGTGTCCAGTTTTGGGCACCTCAATCCAAGAGAGATCTCGAGGTGCTGGAGCGAGTGCAGAGGAGGGCAACGAAACTAGTGAAGGGCCTAGAAGACAAATCATATGAAGAGCAGCTGAAGGAGCTGGGGCTGTTTAGTATGAGGAAGAGGAGGCTGAGGGGAGACCTCATCACTCTCTATAACTACTTGAAAGGACGCTGTAGAGAGGTTGGGGCTGGTCTCTTCTCACAGGTAATTAGTGACAGAACGAGAGGGAACGGCTTCAAGCTCCAACAGGGGAGGTTTAGACTGAACATTAGGAAGGAATTTTTCACAGAGAGAGTGGTCGGGCATTGGAACAGGCTGCCCAGGGAGGGGGTGGAGTCACCATCCCTGGATGTGTTTAAGGGACGTTTAGATGCAGTGCTGAGGGACATGGTGTAGGGGAGGACTTTGTAGAGTAGGGGAGATGGTTGGACTCGATGATCCCAAGGGTCTCTTCCAACCTCAATGATTCTATGATTCTATGATCCAAGAAGGACACCCCGTGTGGTTGCATTCTGGCACAACTCGTGTCCCCTGTAATTCCCTTTGCTGGGAGAAGCACACGGGGCTCTAAATAGTGCTTTTTTGGGGTTTGCCCCATTTTCTGGCGTTGCTGGGTAGTGCCTGGCTTGTGTGTGCTACTGACCTGTGGCCTCAAATACATTTCCAGGCCTGAAGCTACAGAATATGAAGTTCTCCAGAGCTAAAATAACAGCTCTGCTTTCAGCCTGCCACCCCCGGGGACTCATCCCAGGGCTTTACATTCCCAACAGGTTATTTCCCCAGAGTTCCTGCGCTGGATGCTGGGGGTTTGGTGCAAAACACACCAACCTCCCACCCCCCCGGCCAGGCTGCCCCTGTGCTCCCTCTTCCCTCGCTGCAAAAATAAGGAAAACCCGTTAATTTCCCCAAAAGAGGAGGGGGAAGGAGAGAGGTGCTGTCAAACAGGCACCATCACAGAGCTTTGGGTTAAAATCTGTTAAAATCTGGAGGAGAGCAGGGGCAGAGGTCAGTGTGACACTTGGCAAAGGGCTCAAACAGTTTTGTTTTGAACAACTGTTCAAAACCAAGTTCCTAAACTTACAAATACTGTTAAATCGATACATTTTTTTGTAAACAGCTGATAAATTTCACTAAATTAAACCACTGGGGAAATAGAACGTGTTTTAATTTCTGGGTTAAAGACCAGAGTCTAAATGAACCCCAGGAGCCCAGGCTCCCCACTAACAGAAACCATCTACTTGTAAAAGGACATCCAGCTTTTTCGTTGCTGTTGGTTTTCCTCATGTACAACAGTCTTTTGTTTAAAAAAAAAATATATACTAATAGTCTTCTTTTCTCCTAAATTTCCTTCCTAAATGACTTCCCATGATAAACTGAGGATTGCTGTGGGTGAAGTCACACCCCAAAGAGCTCAGGAGAGAATCTGAGCCCAAAACCTGACAAAACGAGGAGGGACAAAGAAGAAAGGGGGAAAAATAAAGAAAAAGGAGGCAGACAAGGTAAGACTCTTTCCTATTTACTAGAATTTGGCTACTTTTTACTCCATGTGACCTTGTGTTCATATATATTCATCTGAAAACTATAGCCAGGCCAGAGAAAGACCAGACCAGAGAGAACAGTCCCTTTCCAGGTGACACACTCACTGTCCCAGACCGGAGCCCCCAGAACAGCCCTTGTTCTCCCGTCTCTGAGCAGGCACTGACCAAGTTAAACTGTTCAAAAATGGTTCAAAAATGTGGTGGTGAAAGGTGAGGCAAGGGCTGTTTCCTGCCTCTCACCGTTTCAGAGTTGTGGTTTGTACCACCAGGTCCCCTTCCATTTCCAGTAGACGGGAAGAGTCACAAGACTTTGGGAGATGAAGGACCTTCGTGAGCCCGTGTCACTGCACAGAGGTTCTTTAGGGGAGCTGAGTATATAGAATTTAACAAAGACTTACAAAAAGCACAGCACCAGAATGAAATGAAACCTTTCACCCAGGCTCCAGCACCCCTCACTGTTGTGTGTGGGTCAGGACCCCAAAGACCAAGCAGCTTCGTGGCTCCCTCCTCCTGCTCCCGGGCTGAAACTCGGGGAGTGTCACCAACAAAGGGCAACCCCAACTTTAACCAGGGGCTGAAAATGCATTCCATTTAAAAATCAGAAAAAACACCCTACAGTGGGTTGGTAACCTAAGAAACTGCTGCTGTTGTTCATCGGGAAAGGCTAGTTCACTCCAATTTCCAGAGGAGCTTTGTTAATCACAGCTAATCATAGAATGGTTTGGGTTGGAAGGGCTTCGTGGCTCCCTCCTCCTGCTCCCGGGCTGAAACTCGGGGAGTGTCACCAACAAAGGGCAACCCCAACTTTAACCAGGGGCTGAAAATGCATTCCATTTAAAAATCAGAAAAAACACCCTACAGTGGGTTGGTAACCTAAGAAACTGCTGCTGTTGTTCATCGGGAAAGGCTAGTTCACTCCAATTTCCAGAGGAGCTTTGTTAATCACAGCTAATCATAGAATGGTTTGGGTTGGAAGGGACCTTGAAGATGATCGAGTTCCCACCCCCTGCCCTGGGCAGGGACACCTCCCACCAGACCAGGTTGCTCCAAGCCCCATCCAGCCTGGCCTTGCTGTAACGGGAAATAAAAATGGTATTTGCAGAAGCTTCTTGTTCTGCTACTCAATACATAAATCATAATAAAAAAAAAAATAAGCAAGGGCATGGTTTTTTCCTCATCATGGAGTAGAGTTTGCTCAATTTTTCACCTGTTTTTACCAAATGCTTTGGAAGTGAGGTTCTTCCAGGAGGAGGAAACCTCAAAAATCCACACCACGGTCCTTTTTGCTCTTTCAAGAGTTCACTGGGTTTCTCAGAGCGAGGAAAACCGCGCTCTGGGGAGGGAGGGCTGCCACGTCCCTCCTGCTCCTGCAGCATCCCCGCCAACGGGCACCAGGGCCCATGCATCTTTTATGCCAAGTAACCTACAGCTTCGTTAATCACAGCTAATCATAGAATGGGTTTGAGTTGGAAGGGACCTTGAAGATGACAGCGTTCCCACCCCCTGCCCTGGGCAGGGACACCTCCCACCAGAGCAGGTTGCCCCAAGCCCCATCCAGCCTGGCCTTGCTGTAACGGGAAATAAAAATGGTATTTGCAGAAGCTTCTTGTTCTGCTACTCAATACATAAATCATAATAAAAAAAAAAATAAGCAAGGGCATGGTTTTTTCCTCATCATGGAGTAGAGTTTGCTCAATTTTTCAACTCTCTTTACCAAACGCTTTGGAAGAGAGATTCTTCCAGGAGGAGGAGGAGGTGGTAAAACCTCAAAAATCCACACCACGGTCCTTTTTGCTCTTTCAAGAGTTCACTGGGTTTCTCAGAGCGAGGAAAACCGCGCTCTGGGGAGGGAGGGCTGCCACGTCCCTCCTGCTCCTGCAGCATCCCCGCCAACGGGCACCAGGGCCCATGCATCTTTTATGCCAAGTAACCTGTCCCTGCCACCAGGCACCAGGGGCCCATGCATCTTTTATGCCAAGTAACCTAAAACTTTTCTAAGAATTCTTCCCCGTCACCCGATCCTGAAAGCCAATCCAAAGGGATACAGTTAATGAGGCGGCCACCGGACACCCACTGGGTGTCTCTGGCACCCAGAGCCCCCGGAGGAGCGTGCGCTGTCCCCGCCGCGGGGCTTATGTAAGAATAATTACATTTATTATGGAAATAAACATCATCCAGGCCCCGTCCCCAAAACCTCTGCTGAATTAACCCCTCTCACAGAACGTGCTGGTCAAACACGGCCCTGTGGCTGCCCAGGAGGTTAAAGCCTAACGAGCCCAGGCGCTAACGAGCTTTTGAAACAGAGTCAGGCTGGTTTTAAATAACTCATTCTTAATTCTGTCTTTGGGTTGTTTTTTTTTTTTCTATTAACATCACATTTTATTAAAAAAATAAGTTTCCTATATTTAACATGTATATTAGCTTGCTGTATAGGACTGAAGATCTCAAGACCTTTAACATTAAATGATAATAAACCAAACACTTTCTTCACAGCTTTGAGAAGGGGAGGAGAGAGGAAGAGGAGGAAGCACCAGGCCCTTCCCAGCAAGAAAACCAGACAGTTCTACAGCATCCAGTCACCAACCTGCAGCACGGACCTTAGAAAAACTGACTTGTATTGATCAAATTTGGAAAATATTCCATATAATTAGAACACATCATTGGGAAAGCCGAGAGCAGGAAGGAATGCATTCTATTCACTATTGTCTTTTCTCTGGATTTCCAAGAAATTCTTCCCCTCCCTTCTCCACGAGCTGTCACTGATTTCCCTGCAGGTGGGTACGTCCCACCCCAGCACAGCAGCATCCCTGCAGCCGGACACACCAGGTCCCACAGCCTCAAACCACTTTATTTTTTTTATTTATTTTTTATTATTTTCCCCAACCACGACAAGATGCTGGATAAATCTGAGGGAGGAACCACCTCAGAGGTGGGCACGCTCCATATTTAACTTGTAGCCCTTGTGGTTCCCCCAGGTATGTTCAACATGAAGCCTGTGGAGGAGTCACCCCTCGGGGATGGGGTATTCCTGGTGCTTACACCTTCTCCCGGCTCCCTGCAAGAAGGAACCAGCAACACCCCCAAATCCCTGGGGTTTTCTGTGCAAAGGCCCCGCAGGCCAGGCCATGGGGAGAGCAGCCCCTCTCAGAGGGTGTCACAGAGTCCTCGGGGCAGGGGGGTCGTCAGCAGCCACGTCCCCAGGGTTTAGAGAGAACAATAACTGGGGGAGAGCCCAAGGTGCTCGGTCTGACTTCATCCCCTGCATAAAAACTGCTCTTGGGGGACACAGAGTTCAGCAGATGAACCCTCTGCTGCTTCTCTTCGGGAGAAGGGAAGGACAAATGACCTTCCCAGGGGAAAAAAAAGCAAAAATCAGGAGAGAAAAGAGTGTCTGTGAGGAGGGAGGGACAGAAGGTCCTTCCTCTCCTGGGGAGACACAGCTTCTGCTCCCTGCAAAGGTTTCTATGTGAGGAGAAGAGTGGAAATCCAGACCTCTCTCTATCCCCCTGCAGGAACCAGCTCTCCCTTCCCTCTCTCCACCACCAGAGCCTCTCTGTCCCCAGGAAAGGGCTGCCTCTGCCGTGTGACATCCGTGGTGTCGGACATCCCTGCTAAAATCCAAACACAGGGGAAATGCCCAAACCAACCCCCCCCCAGGCTGCTGCTGCCTAAAGCCAAGGACAAACAAGCAAGCAATGAACACTGGTATTTTGGTTTTTTGCATGGATATTACAAAAAATAGTAATCATACACTTTTCTTTTTTTTTTTTACTTTTTAAATGTTCATTACTTCGATAAAGCACATATGAATGTAACATTCAGAATCGTAACATAGAAAATGTCATGTGGGCAATCTGCTCGTCCAAGTACACTTACCAAAATACAATTTTATAATGAAGAAAGTCTCAAAATACACCTGTACAACAATTGGGATCCACAAAATATGATTTAATAGTTATCACTCAAGATCACTTCATTGAAACCACTGGTATAATACTGTTTGAAGAGTAACCTCTGGGCAAAGAGCCTTCTCCCCCATCCGTCCCACTGGAACCAGTGTGGAATTGTAACTGGGATGCGTGGGGTACCCCCCGGGGGTGCAGGAACCCCCCCCCCAGGCCGAGGTACAGCCCGACACCCATATTATGGTCTGTAGCACAAGCAGAATCATCTGGCAAAGGGCAACTAAAGAGGGTGGAAAGAGGAGTTAGTGCTCGTCTCGCTACCACGGCGTTCCCTACCTGGTGCTGAAGCCTGGAACCTTACAGCTTTACTGGAAAAGAAAAAGTTAACCATTTTAATCCTATAAATATTTTTCTTTATTTGCTTTTATGTTTAGAAGTCGCTATTTAAGTTCTATTAACAGAAATACATAACAAAAGCTCCCTAACAAGTGGAAAAAAAGTAATTACAAATGCTGAAAAAGTTGGCCTCATTAACATATGTACAGACTCGCTTACTTAATACACATCTCTGTGGGAATTAAATCATTTTATGACACACATTTATACAGGCATTAAACATTCCCAAGTAGTAACTTTGAGCAGAGAATACGCCAAATCTTTAGTCTGGGCAGACAAAAAAAAAAAGAAAAAAAAAAGAAGTATATTTTCGTTTGGATCGTGGAGCTAAACATGCGACAGACACACCACTCAGTCCGAGCTGCTGTTGAGAAGTTGTTCTGTTTTTTCCTGCAAAGATCTTTCCATTGAACTCGGGTCCTTCTGTCCCTTCTTGTCCTTGTTCTGCTGTTCCTGCAGCTTCAGGATGATTTTCCGGATTTCTTCTCTTTTGGTTTTCATCCTCGGGCGCGGAAACCAGTCTGTTAAGTTCATGGGGAGCTCAAAACTCAGAATGGGGTTCTGAAAAGAAAGGTCATTGGGGTGTTAAAGTTGGGAGTTAGAAGCTGTGGGGCTGGAGAGAGCTGCAGGGGGAATGGGACATCCTTCCTCAC